CCAAAAACAGGGTTGGTAAAAAGAGAGGGGGTATTGCTTGCTTTGTTAATTTTGGTTTAACTGCGTTTTCAAAAAGCTTTGATAATCGTATGGAAAATCTAATTATAATTGTTGAAAATGATCATTTGAGACAGCACTTCTTCGTATTATACAAAACAGCATCGATGAATCAGGATTCTTTTTCGTTGAATTTGGATTTCCTACTTCATGATGTATCTCAGATCAAAAAAGAAATATTATATTGTGGTGATCTCAATGTTGATATCTTGGTAAATTCATCTTTTTAGTTGACTATAAAAAATTACTCCTATCATTCGATTTGATGACGTTGAACGAAGAACCCGCTTGAGAAACTACCCATAGCTCATCATGTATCAACCATGTTTAGCCGAATTTGAATCTGGAGGTATCAACATTGAAATGCATTGGTTAACGCTCTGCTGGTTAACACTGATCTAGAAAAGTATTTTGAAATTAAATATCCTAGAAAATATCGAGATTTCAAATGTTTATTGAATAAGACTACGGCATGTAAACTGCTTTTTCTACTCAATCATCGCTTATCAAAAGCTTTTGAAAACCTGAACAATTTTTCTCTAGAAATAATTGGAAGAATATTGGTAAAAATTTGTAAATTTTATTCTCATTAAAAAACTCACACCGAACAAAAATTCGCAATCTTGGGTAAGTCTCGATTTGAAAAAACAATTTGGGAAACGAGATAAAACTCATTTGCTTCTAATTAACAATCCAACCGAAAAAACTACTATAAAACTCAGTGTAAATTAGTCAAACGGTTAATGCGTAATAGCAAGAGAAACTACTATGATAGAAAAATTAACTTGCAAGGCAATGCAAAAAGTCTTTTCAATGCTTTTAAGGAATTTTCCGGAAAAACTTTTTCGTTGGTTGTAAAACTGATGTTGATGATTTTAATTTTTTTTTGTACAAGTCGGTCAAAGCCTTGCAACCGATATACCTGGTAATTTTACTTCTGCAGACCTACTAACAAAAGAAAAATCTTTTTTTTTCATCCCACTGATGAGGCAGATGTTTCTATTGTAATAGAAAAAATGAAAAACAAAACATCCGACGGTCATGATGGCATCAATATAAAGATGGTCAAGTTTTGTGCACCAATAATATTGCCATTCTTAACTTTTTGTTTTAACCAAGGCTTTATTGCTGGCGTTTTCCAGAAAGTTGTAAAATTGCAAATGTAATATCATTTTATAAAACGGTAAAACTGAAAAAGCCAAACAATTTTCGACCCATAAGTTTGCTAAAATTTTTCAGCAAAATTTTTGAAAAAATAATTTACATTCGCATGATTAAGATTTATATCAAAATGCAACCTTTTAGTGCCTAAACAGTTTGGTTTCCGGAGCAGATACTCTTGTGTGCATGCAATAACTTCTGCAATCGAAACAATGCGTCACTCTATAGACGATAACAAATCAGGATCAAAGGGTTTTGGTAGATCCTAAAAAGGCTTTTGACACAATTGATCACTCCGCTTTACTAACCTAATTAGATCTCTATGAATTCCGCGGTATAACAAACCCTTTTCTGCAGTCTCATTTAACCAATCGTATTTAGTATGTAGCTTTTTGTGGAAACAACTCTCAATTAAAGAGTATTACGTTCGGAGTTCAACAAGAATCTGTCCTGTTTTTACTCTATATTAATGACCTGCCTAAGAAAGTAACGAAAAGCTCAATTTGTCTGTTTGCTGATAATACAACGATTCTTACTACTTGCAAAAACAATTCGATTGATAAAAATTTCAATCAGGACCTTAAATTGATTGAAAATTGGTGCACAAATAATAGACTAATTATCAATATTGATAAAACGCAAGTATCCAACTTCGGAACGAGTTCAAAAGAATCTGAAATGTTTTTGTGGAATCAGAAACTTAATGCTATAGTCTCCTTTAAGTATTTTGGAGTTGTGGTAGATAATTAGCTCTGTTTTAAGCAACACAGATCATGTTTGTAAAAAGTTAGCTTAATTTATTGGATTTTTTTTATAAAGCATGAAATGTTTTTTCTAGGACATTTCTTCTTAGGTTTTATCAAGTTAATGCAAAGTCTTTTATATCATACGGCATCTTAGTTTATGGACGTGCGTTCAAGACAATTTTAAACGAAATTCTTTTAAGCAAAGCGAATTCTTAGAACTGTTTTCTTTATGCGCAAATTTGAGCACATCATTGAAAAGTTTTCTGAATATTTTATTGATAACGTTTTTCACTTGTTTCTAGACACTGTTTTTTAAGAAGTTAATATACAATTACTTGGTAAATTGCCATTAAAGTTTTTGGATTTTAATCAACTAAATAACTGTAGACAAACATGGGTCCGTAGCTTGAGAATGTTACGTTCAAAATCTGTTAGATCTAACTGCTTATTACAATCAGTTAGCGTTAAAGTGCTCAAGTTTTACAATTTTTTTCGGTAGTAGTCTTTTTCCAGAGAATTTGAAGGATATGTCAAAATCTCAATTGAACTCATATTTACAATACACTAAAACCACAGATACTTTTGAAACCCTTCGCCTGATATTTGACAAGTGATATTATTCCTGCCTTTTCTTTCTCCTCAACTTATTCTGTAAAAATCAAAATTATGGGACGTCTCCTCGAGGGGCCTTAGGGCCCGTGAGCTTGATCCCTGTGAGTATCTTATGACTGATGCTTGTTAGTTATGTGGTCACTAAAAAATTCAAACTTCAAACATCAATCTGGTTGTCACAATCTTTATGTGAGATTGCATTTGAATGCTGTTAATAACCTAAACTGGCTCTTTTCCAATCCCCCTTTCAAATTCAAATTTGAAACGTCTATTTAACGTTGTCATACTGCTATGAAATTTGGCGTGGTGAACAAATCGACAATTCTGAACAGATTTGTTTTTCATACTTTACAGCGTAACATCACACAGGAGGCGGAGCAATAAGCAGAATGATCTAAGAGCAGAATGGGTCCAACAGCAGAAAAACAGGAAAATTTTGACTCAAGTTGATTTATACGTGCTAATTGTTAAAACAATTATTAGAATCGTCAAAAAAATACCAAGAAAATGAATAAATTATGCATGAATTGAATAGTTTCATCAAGTTTTTGATTGATTTTTTTAAAATCTTGATTAATTTACTCAAATTGTGCATAAAAGATTCGTTTCTTTGATAATTTTGACAATTCGTATTCTTAATTTACCGATTAGTTTGTAAAAATTGATATTTTTTCGTTTTTCCGCTCTTGGACCCATTCTGCTTTTAGACCATTCTGCTCATTGACTGACCACCCATCACGCATTTAGCCGTAGTAACACATAAGACAAACATAAAACTCGTATTTTGAAAGCGGGCTGGAAAAGAGCCCCTAAAGTAACTTATTTTTAAACAATTTTCTCAAATTAAACTTATTTTTATAAATGTAAGGTATACTCAAAGTTTTTTTCCAGAAAATCCATATTTTCTCATCCCTATATCAATTTAGGGGAAAAATTGTGCGGTTGATCTTTTTAATTAAATATATTTTCTGAAAATTGTTTTGAACTATTGAAGGCCCAAGATAACATCCTCCCCCCCCCCCCCCCCCTCCAAATGCCTTCAGGGGGGAGGATGTTAACTTGGGTCTGAACTCGATTTTTCAGCAAATCAGATTAGAGCATTTTACACGCAGCGCTTAGCAAATTTAATTTAAAATAAGCGCAGGGGTTCACATATTTAGCCGTAAGATAAACTTGGTCTATTTGGGGGGGGGGGGGGGATGTTAACTTGCATAAAAGATTCGTTTCTTTGATAATTTTGACAATTCTTATTCTTAATTTACCGATTAGTTTGTAAAAATTGAGATTTTTTCGTTTTTCCGCTCTTGGACCCATTCTACTCTTAGACCATTCTGCTCATTGACACATAAAAATACATAAGACAAACATAAAACTTGGTATTTTGAAAGCGGGCTGGAAAAGAGCCCCTAAAGTAACTTATTTTTAATCAATTTTCTCAAATTAAACTTATTTTTAATAAATATAAGGTATACTCAAAGTTTTTTCCAGAAAAATCCATATTTTCTCCCCCCTATATCAATTTAGGGGGGAAATTGTGCGGTTGATCCTTTAAATTAAATATATTTTCTGAAAATTGTTTTGAACTATTGAAGGACCAAGTTAACATCCTCCCCCCCAAATGCCTTTAGGGGGGAGGATGTTAACTTGGTTCTGAACTCGATTTTTCAGCAAATCAGATTAGAGCATTTTACACGCAGCGCTTAGCAAATTTAATTTAAAATAAGCGCAGGGGTGGAGGATCTTCACATATTTAGCCGTAAGATAAACTTGGTCTATTTGGGGGGGGGGGATGTTAACTTGATCCCTATTGAAAATTTGGGCAGTCTTCTGTTTTTCTGCTCTAGGACTCATTCTGCTTCTTGAATGGCCACCTGGTCCGCATTATGTTTATGACCTTTTGTCTGTCGTATCCGTATCGGACAAGTGAAGTAGCGCTGATTGTGCAGTCTGGCGCCGAAAGTGCAGTTTGTCCTTGAAAACACGACTAGCAAAGTACAAAAATTTTGTCATTTTTTTACGTAATAAAAAAGGTTTAAAAAATTCAGATTTGTACCATATAAGAAATTGAAAGAGAAAATTGAAAGTTTAAAAACATATTGGCATTCAAATCAGTATCAACATTAGGAACTGGAATTGAAAAATAAATTGTGGCTTTTTTGAACCTAATTCTACAAATCCTAAATTATTAATTTGTTTGTATGACGTAAGACATTACGTAATTCAGCTTGTATTTTGTAATGGTAGAACAACTTTCAATTTCCTTACTAAATTAGGCACATATTTGCTTAGAGATTACGTAATAACTTGCGTAATGTTCTATATTCGACTCTTTAGTGCGCTGACGTACAAGCTCGTAGCGAATCAAAATCAGCATGACGCAATCCGTTTTTATCTCGTTTTTGCATTACATAATCAGCTGTTTTTATTGAACTGTGATATTTTAACTGACATGATAGCCGAATTTAATTTACCAAATTGTTAAATTGCAAAATTAAAATTCATGCGTAGTTCAAACAAGAGTAGTTCAAATAATTCAGAAAAAGTTCAAAAAATCAACTGTGCTGTTATTAAGTTCAAGTTCTCAAATCTTTTATAGCAGTCTTTCATATATATTGAAGTTTTCTCTTGTTTTTCAATCTGTTCCGAAGTAATTTACTTCCTTGATCAGTTATTAATTAATATTCAGTTGTTCAATTTCGAAGATAAAGTTTTTCTGCTGTTCTTTTCCTATCCCTCAGACTGGCCGACCCTTTCGTCCCGTCCCGTTATTCAAGTTTCCATATCAGGAATTGTAACAAATTACTAGACGTGTATATCTGATTCTTAGGAACGTTCTTAGGAATTTTTGGTTAGTGTTTATCCTTTGCCGAATTCAAATAATGTGTCACAAGTGCTTGATTCAGAGCAATATAAATACCTTGTTATTTTAGGTAGAGTACGTTTAGTCACCTTTGAGCAGAAACAAGATCGGAAAAGGCCAATTTCAGTTATCGCAAGGAGCTAAGGGTGGTTCAAGAAAGCACCGTACTGGCGACAACGAAAGAAATTTCAACTCATAAACCAACCACCGTTAAACGGAAACTACATTTAGGGTATGTAACATTAAATCGAAATAGTTTGTTTTGTCTCCCTCTGGGCGCGGCTTTGAGATGTTTCGAAGCGGCCGGGAAGCAGATTAAACCGCAGTGTTTTATCATACCGATGATTCAGACAGTTGAAGTAAATAAATGGTCATATGGGAAGCGGAGCATTGAGCAGAATGGTCCAAAAGCCCAACGCTAATGCTATGTTGGATATTTTTCAACTTCACATCAACTCTTTTGGTACCTAATAAAGAGTGAATTACCATAGGTTCCAATATTCATAGGTTCCAAAATGGTGGCGTGTCACGGAGTCGAATACCCGGATAGCCGAAAAGTAAATTCGTTCCCGGATAGCCGTAATTTTGGATCTACTTAACAATTACCCCCCTACCCATTTCTTATTAAGGGGGGGGGGGGATTCGTTACTAGGTACGATAGGGGGGACAATAGTTAAAGAGATCATACAAACTTACTTAAAAACACTGTTTTGTTTTATTTGGAATACCCCCCTTTCTCTACCCCCCACCCACACACTTAGTCCCATCTTACTTCCTTCCCACTCCCTTCCCCTTCTCCCAATTACCCCCTCCCCCTACCCACATTTACCCCACTATGCCCCGGCAAAAAAATAAACGCGTTTAAAAAAACGGTCAAATGTTTAAAAAAACAGGCCAAAACGCCGTTTTTGGTGTTTTTTTTGAAAAAATTTTATCCAAAAAATTATAAAAGAAGTCAATTAAATTGAACAAGAAATAAAAAGAGCGTATATACCGCACAGTTTACAGTTGAAGCAGTAAAGCGAAGGGTGTGTGTCAACTAGTTGCCTCAAGGATGCATCCAGCGTTCCCGCGCTGAATCGCTAGGTCTAGCTTTTGTTTGAGAAATTTAAAAGCTAGTTTCTCACCCGTTAAGACTGTTATTCGCCTTGCAAGTTCTTTCAAGAAAACTGCAGTAGACCTACCAGCGCCACCCAGTGTTTCCATGGCAACGAGTTCGAAAATTACAGTGGAAGGGAGGTCTGAATAGTGGTTTCTTTTGCGGACTTCGGCCTCGGAAGCTGCATTGGCACCCGGAAGAACTTCCATTCGCAGATTAGAGTTTGCCAAACGACTTATACATGTGAAATCCCATGCCAAGGTCCGTCCTCGCTGCCATGGCATTAGTGGGTGTCCATCTGGTCTGCGTCCATCTTTGCGTAGCAGCCCGATAGGTTCTAGTGTGGAACTGATGCCGAGTGATTTTATAGAATCTTTAATGATCATGTTGCCATTCGAGTGTCTGATGAACCTGTGCTTGATCTTCGGGCAGACAAGTGCGTGTCTTCCATCTGTTGCTGCAACATAGCCACATTTGCATGTGTGTTGTGCGGTTACTGGGGCTCCTAGACGCAGACCAGCTGAAATACGGAACTCATCATCGGACAAAGTCAGACCCAGCGGACGAGAAGGAAGGACGTCCAGCCAAGCGCCTGAACCTACCGCGCGACAGCCGTGATAACGAGCAAGTGAGTTTTGGTCGGTACAATTGCTCAAAATGTTTGCGGATTGTTGTTCGTAGATAGGTTTTGTCCAAAATTTTTGAGCGCACTGGGGGGGCTAAGTCTTCAAATCGGTGGTTGCTGAGAGACTCCCAGTGGTCGACGGTTTCGTTAAAAAGACCAGGATTGCTTATCTCAGGAGCAAGGCAGTGCCGTAAATTTTCAGTGGAAACAAAAGAAGCAATAAATGCTGATGAGCTGAGAGTGCTGATTTTTGAAGACCAAACCCTCCTTGTTTCGTGGGCAAGCAAATTTGACTGAAAGAGACATCGGAAATGATGCAGTTGAAGATTCTCTCAAGTTCAAGGCATACAAGTGTGTCGATTTCGTCGAGTAAATCTGTGTGTTGAAAGGCAGACTAGCGCGGAGGACATACATAAGTTTAGGGACAAAGAAACAATTTTTAATGAGAAAGAAAGCGGTTTGACATGGTAAAGAAGCTGTTCGCTGCAGGAGTGTCTTGAGTTTTGCAAGTTTGTCCACTAACTCTGCTCGAATCGACCTAGTGCCTAGACCAGCTCCAAGAAGTGTGCTGTCTTCGGCATCAACGCATTGAATAGTGGGAAATGTCTCACGAAAAGCTCTTTCTATCTCCTTTTTACTGCTCCCAAAAGCTGTCACCTCGCACTTCTTCTCATTCAAAAGAAGACCAAGTTTCTTACATGCTTGTTTGATACTCAGAAGATCATGGAGAGTGGTGCGCCATTCATCAGCAAAAGCAACGTCATCCAGGTATCCAGTTTTCAGCTTGCTCAAGAGGTTCTGCAAAGCAGGAAGTAGGACAAGACATTGCGTTTTACAGCGCGCGCTCCCCTTTAAAGTTATACTTAAAATTTTTAGGGTTTGTGGGCCGAAAAAGGATATAATAAAACTTACCAAAGAGGGACCCTCTGATTGGTGAGGGGTGTTGAATCCCTGCAGTAGTCAGACTTTTGTTGTTAATTAATTAAATGAGAGTAAAAAAATAAGCCAATCCAACCTCTTAAAAAAGTTCAGAACTTTCTAAGCTTACAGGCTGCAAAATTTTGAGGCATTTTTTGTCATATCAAAATGCGTCTCAAGAGTTTTCTTATTTAATTTAATTAAAACCGGAGGTGTTTATTTTTTTCGGCTTTCCGGGAATGCGGCTCCGTGGGTACGCGCCTCCAAAATAAACAAGACTGCTCGTATCAGGGCGAAGCCCTGAATGTTCCGACTGCCTTTTAAGGTTTATGGAACAGTAATAATAAAAAAAAAATTAAATGGAATATATTAAACTTAAATTTTTTCTAAAATTTGAAATTTTTTATGAAATTCATCCCCCCACACGCCATATAAAGTACAAAAGGATAGATTTTGTTCCTTGTAGGAAATCAATTATGGCAAATAAGCTCCGTTCAACTGATTTGGAACGAATCTAAGACGGATTAAATCTCCGCTTACGCGTTAATAGCGCGAATTATATCGCGCGTTAATTGTCCCAAAATGGCAATCTTTAAACCCTCATAACTTTACGAAAAATGATCACAGGTGAAATATCTTTTCAAATTTAAGCTCAGGACAACAATACCTTTTGAATGATATAAACGGTCAAAAACGGCTAGTTAAAAAGTCAAAATTTGTCTGAAGAAAAAAAACCCACCCCGAGCACAAATATTCCGTTACTTTCGTATCGAAAGTCGGAACAAAATCAGTCGCATAAGTTCCAAAATTAATCTTCTTGAATTCTGATTAGTTTAAATTTGAGCCAACGAATTTATGAATTGATTGTTTACTGTTCAACCAGCATAAACTCAAGCTGCAGAATAGTGACCGCCGCAGCCGCGCCAACGTGTTGCGAGCTTGCCACCAAAGGGTAGGACTACACGAAATTTAGAGCCGGTTATCGCCCACCGGCGACCCTTAAACCGAGACTCGGCTAATTTAGTCTTTTGACCAATTGAAAAGATTTGGAACTTATGCGACTGGTGAATTCCCATAGGTTCCAATATTCATAGCTCCTAAAATAAAAAATTAGTCGCATGAGTTCCAAAATTTATCTTCTTGAATTCTAATTGGTTGAAATTTGAGCCAACGAATTTATGGATTGATTGTTTACTGTTCAACAAGCATAAACTCAAGCTGCAGAACAGTGACCGCCGCAGCCGCGCCAACGTGTTGCGAGCTTGCCACCAAAGGGTAGGACTCTATACGAAATTTAGAGCCGGTTATCGCCGCCAAGCGGCGACACGCGCGTAGCGCGCCCACCGTCGACCTTAAACCGAGACTCGGCTAATTTAGTCTTTTGACCAATTGAAAAGATTTGAGACTTGTGTGACTGATTTTTTTTGTTTTTGAACCTATGGGACTGATTTTTCATTTTGGAACCTATGAATACGCACCATGCGACTGCTCTTTTATTTGGGAACCTATGGGACTGATTGTTTATTTTGGAAACTATGAATACGCACCCTAATAAAGGGAGGCGGAGCAAAAAGCAGAAAGAGCGGATCTTTTTGATAATCTCTCTATTGGGTGGCGTCCCTCATGCTTGAAGGACCGAATGCTTGAAATTAATTTAAACTTACTTTCAGCCAATCAGAATTGAGTATTCAAAATCTCAAAGTAAATCGCGAAAATCTCAAAGTAAGAAAATAAATGCAGGCCATTAGAGTTAATATTGACCGATTAGATAATAAGCAGATGAGTTTTCAATTCTGATAATTTTGACCTCATTAATCTTGATAATTATCTGAATAGTATTGCGGTTGTAACCCGCAATTTATTTTTGATTATTTTCCACTGATTTAATACATTTTCTGTTAATATTGACTTCGATTTTGTGAGAAAGGCATTTAACCAATGGAAACGCTTAGCAATTTTGATTGGATTAAATTTTTCAAGCATTCGGTCCTTCAAGCATGAGAACCCTCCCCAACTATTGTATCTACTAAAGAATCTCGGTGGCGTGTCGCGGAGCCGAATACCCGGATAGCCGAAAAAAAATTTGCTTCCGGATAGCCGAAAAATAAATTCGTTCCCGGATAGCTGAAAAATATATTCGTTCCCGGATGGGTGCCGGACATCAAGCTGACGGGACTTCAACCCGAATCGTTAAAGTAGGGACTTCAAGCCGAAAAGTCATGAAATAAGGTTAATTTGAAAATTTTTTTGAAGAATTTCTCAATTTCATGACCTTTATTCGGTAATTATTAGCATTTTCACGAAATTTAAACCTCCAAATGATGTTTAGGAAAGTTGAAAAATATAACACTGTTGAAGGTTATTTTCTTGTTTATAATTTACGCATTTCAAAAAACGGCTGATATTATTAACTAATGCCAATCCTAAGAAATCATTGTCATAAATAACGCTTATTATGGACTAAACTAGCCTAAGAATTTGAAAAGAAACGTTTTACAGAAGAAAAAATAATGATTTGAGGTGCTTGTAAAGTTAAATTTTCGGCCTCAAGTCCCTGCGGGTTGAAGTCCCGTCGGCTTGCCCTTCCCGG